AGAAAACAGAGCGTACAGAGCCACGGTCAGGTGGAATTTACTGCCGCTGCATAAAACATCTGCAAATATCTAAAGAATAATCGAACTGTGTGTAAATGAAGAGATAAAAGCAGAGAATGTTAAAGGTATTTGAATATATGTTATTGGAATTTATCACGTAAAAGCACAGAAAGATTGTTATTAAGAGTCTGATTTGTGTCAGACAATAGTCTATGGTTATTAAGAAGTATTATTTATTTGAATTAATGAGGAAAAATCGAGTTTATTATACATTTTTGAGACTGTTCTTCTTCCGTTTGTACTACTAAGCGTGTATAAACAAACAGGTAGGCTGCACAGTGTCTACAAGATGTTTCACTAGATCACAAGATCCCAAGATGATTTTCAGCTTCTGTGATAAGCCGTTATCTCTCCAACAGACACCTGGCTGATAAGAGGTTTTTTATGCAACTGCAAAGCCTCGGCAGTACGACATCCCAGTGCGCACCAGTGGGCCGTACTCACCCACAGACTGGTTTGTGTTGGTGGTGAGGTCCCGGGCGCAGACGGCGGTGCCGGGGTCACAGCCGGTCAGCGGTGAGGACTCACAGAGCTTCAGCGTGTAGCTCACTTTATTATCCCGGTCTATAGCCTCCCATTTATAACTGCAACACAAAGGGATAGAAGCACAGGAGGTAAAGAAGAGGATGGATCAAACATAGACCCACATTAGGTCTCAGCCCTGCAGCATCCGATCAATATCAGTTTATTTTCTGATCGGCGGTCTACAGCGGGGACAGTGAAACTTATGATTAGTACATTAATTACACAAGTTAGTTTAATCTTAAAACGTCTTGAAGCTTTTCTTTTTCTTTTCATGTTGTAAAAAACTGAATATATTTAGGTTTTAGTGTTTAGTGTTGGTGAAGAAAAAACAACTTGTTTTTCTCACATTTTATAGATACATTGATTATTTAAGATAATAGCAAAGTTAATCAATAATGAGAATTAATTATTAGTTAGAGCATTTTTGTCTTTTATGTGTTTTTTGTTTTCCTGATCTAGACACTAAGATTGTGACTAAATGAGCGATCGTGCTATTGTTTTTATTATTATCATCATCATCATTATAGCTGTTATCACTCTCATCATCATCTTCATCATTATTATTATTATTAGTTCTACTGTTATAGTTGTTATTATTACTAATGTTACTGCAGCACATGTCTGTCTCTCTATTTATCTGCTTCCCTGGCACAAAAGGGCGAATAAATAACAACACAAAAGGCCAATAATGGGAAATTTATATTACTAGTAATTATCTGTGGTAGTTAAATTACAGACGATCAATTATTTTCAATGAACTTCACTAGAAAAAAGTTAATTGTGTTAAAATTTGAAGAGTCAGAACTGTTTGTTGTATAAAGTCAGTTAGATTTAGTAAGAACAGAGCTATAAAATATTACATCATCCATCTTTGCTCTCTGAATCTCAACCTTTATTACCATCAGGTGTACAAACTACAGGTTATAAACTTTATTTTCAAATACAAAAAAGATCTGTTTATCTGATCTGTATCGGCCACGAAGAAGCAGATAATTATCTGTTATTGTATCAGCTCAAAGAAAATCCACATATCGTGCATCCCTAGTTCATTCATTCATTCATTTAAATAACAGTTATAGTGTCTCTATTTTTATCTTTATTCTTTTTATTTTGATTCAGGTAACATTCATTAGAGTTGGAAACACTGGAAAACCTTTAATGCACATACAGTCCAAACAGCACTGAATTAAACTCCATTAATTGGAATTAAAGCTCATAAAACATCCTCTCTTTAAGTGAACAAGCCAGTGAAACCAATGCTGCCAAAACAAGGAAATGAAAGCCAGTGTGACTTTACAGGTCGAGTCACCTGGTAATCATTTCTACCTTTAATGCTGTGTCAATATTTGAAGAGCAGCAGCCTGGGACAGAGCTCAACACTGTTCAGTTTCTCATCCCTTTTTTAACTTCCATAAACATTGTGTGTCTTTAGTTTCAAGCTTCTTTTTAATTCAACAGTAAGTGAGCGTAGCTGGTTCAAACTTATGAGGCAGCACGTTTGGTTTATTGTCAAACTAATACATAATGTTAACTGTCTTGCACCGTTAATACGCTTACAAGGAGAACATATTGATTAATATAAAGTGTTGATATTATAACTGACACAAAAAGGTGATTCATTGTTTAATTATCTATTTTTAAACAGCTTATCTTCTTATAATAATGATGTGTGTGTGTGTGTGCGTGTGTGTGTGTGTGTGTGTGGAAATAAAAGCAAATAAATCATCAAATGACACAAATATTCTGAATTAAATTAAACGCAGGGTTTAAAATATGGGTTTATTAAAGACTGCTGTATGTTGTTTTGTATTGTGCCGTGGGTTTGAGCCCGGGGAAGGTGTGTTTGTTACCTGCAGAGGTCCCGGTACCACAGGCTGCCGCTGCCGTCCTCCTCCGCTCCGGACCGGACCGACAAACATCCCAGAACCGCCACAAACCACAGAACCGGCCTCACGGAGCCACGACGGTCGGGTTTCTTCTCGAACAACATTGTTTGCTATGGTCGGTACCGTCCGCAGAGCCCGACTACGACGACATGATACAGCACAGTCTCCTATCAGTAGGAAGTGAATGCACCACATGACAGGACGTCACATGACTCATGGTGACTGGTGCTGCGTTCACGGACTGTTGGGAAAACTACCTGCTTGGAAGGTTGTTTTTTGTGAAGAAGAAGAAGAAGAAGAAGAAGAATGAAGAAATTGGGGGAAATTGTTCTTTTCACTCTTTTTTTTATACCACACACACACACCACACACAGGTGAAATACACACTTCATGCACATGTGGACATGCAAAGGGGGAGAGATTTGGGTGGAGGTGATGGGTGCTGCCGGCGTTACATGCGCCCCGATGAGCAGGTTTCGGGGTTAGGTTGCTTGCTCAAGGGGCACCTCGGGCAGTGCACAGGAGGTGAAACTGGCACCTTCTCCAGCTACCATCCACACTTCGGTCTGTGGGGCTTGAACCGGCAACCCTCCGGTTCCCAAGCCAAGTCCCTACACACTGAGCTACTGTCGCCCCAAAACTAAAGACATATTCTTAAGGTGGCATGGAGATATATATATTTTTTGGGGGGTTTTTAGTGATAGATAGACAGGACCCAGCTCATAGTATAGTGGTTCCCAACCTGAGGTTCTGGACTTCCCCTAAACGGGTCGCCATAGCTTCAGAGAGGGTCGTGAGGCCTTCTTGAGTTTAATAGGTGTAAGAAAACTTTAAAAATATGTAAAATATAACACAGTAGGCGTATATCTCAACATTATATTCATTCCTGTGAGGAATAGTTTATATTTTTATTTTAAAATTTAGATTTATTTATTTTAATTTATACTCTTTGAAGACCAGAACACAAGCTGTATTTACAGAACCTTCACTCTCTGATCAACAGCCTTGTCCAAAAGTAGGGCAAGCGGAAAACACTTTATTTGTCACCAAAAAAAAGAAGCCTATTAAGAAGATTTGACAGATAATTGCATAAAAATATCAGGAAAACTCATCTCTGATCAATATTCACAGGAAACACATTTACTTGGAAAAGCCCCCATGTAAAGATATAATATAATAAACTAAAACTTATATTATAACTAAAATAACATTACACTACTGTGGCACATTAGTATAAGCATCCAGTATGAATATCTCAAGGTGGCATTAGAAATTAATACATTATTTTATCTTCAAATCTTCAGACATTTCACCAAAAACATGTCTTTTTTTTTCATTAAACTTAGTGGCATCTCTTTGTATTTCTATTTGTACCCCACTGAAAAGATTAAATGTACATTTTCTATAAGCATTTATATGTCTACTGTCTATTTGGGACTTGAATGCAGCATTAGTGATGACAAGAACAGAGCTTCATTCACCAACTAAAAGAACAAGTATGCAGTTTTTCTCTACTGTATGTGCAGTGGTACCTGAACACAGCATTCTTTATGACACATATCCAGGGACTTTTTAAAACAAAGACTTTTAGCCTTACAGACAGATTGTGTTCTTTATACACCACTAACCATTCAGCCCATGTAACCATAACATTAACCACCTATAACATCATTTAATCAGCAGAGTTTGTTAACCTTCAGTCCTCAGTGTGGGAGAAAGCTGCAGCTGCTCCTGAGAGTTCCAGCTCAGGGCAAAAAAATACGCCTGTATATTAAATAAGAGCCTTCACTTGTTCAGGTGTCATATTGCGCCCTCTAGTGGCCATAAAAACCCCTCACTCAACTGTTGAACAGTTGAATTATGATCTATTTTCCATCAGTTATAGTCTCTATAGTTTGTATTCTTTCTTTATTCAGGAATCTGGACGTGTTTGCTCTTCCTACACTCTTCTCTACATACATTAATCTTTAGAAGTCACACAGAAAAGCTCCTTTTAAAAGTATTGTTTGGATATTTTTGATGGTAAAGTTGTAAAAGTACATCGGGGAAGAACTCTGTGGTAAAGGACCCTCTGTACATAATGTGTCATGTGATTATAAACTAATGAAAACATACCTCTGAATAATATATATTTAATTTCTGCCAATAAATCCTCATAAATGTTACACAAACAACAAATGTTAAATCACTCATGCAGAATGTCCCATGTCAGAATAATATGGGTTATAGTGGTTTACATTATATTGATGCATTAATGTGTCCATCTATGATTACATCATAATTTATTTGTTGATTACATTTTATTTATTGATTAGAGTCTATAAAGTGAAAATATTTGCCTCTGAATTGTAGTAGTAGACCAGAACAGTAGTAGACCTACTTCTCTACTCTGACCCTTTGTACCGCAGTGCCCTCTACAGGTCTGTTTTTTGCCCTCTAGAGGTCTTTTTTTCCCCTCTAGAGGTCTTTTTTTGCCCTCTACAGGTCAGAATGAAGCTAAAAGGTGATTTATAAGTGGGAAGTGACGACACCTGTTGAGATGCCTGATGATAAATGTGTGATCAGATCTCAATCAGACAGCCAACAGAAGCTGAAAATGTGTTGTTTTGCAGTGATGTGGCTTCTGATCTTCATCTGCACGTCGACAGGTAAAGACTGAAGTATTCAGACTACAGATATTCAGCTAAATAATTAAGATTATTTTCTCTTTCTGTTGATTTAGTTTGCGCTGTACCCATAAATCGAACCCACGAGAACAGTCATTCCCCAGGTTGGTGTTCACTGGATTTACTTTTTACATTTGCTACAATATAAAGGATTATTTATGAGGAGATGTTACTTTAGTACATGCTGATTATGCAAAAATAATTACTTTTACTGTCTAAAATTAACTGGATTTCTCTGTTTTAGTTGATGTCGTTGCCTTAAATGACACCCAGAATGTGATTAGTCCTGTTCCAGGTTGGTGCTAGTTGGTTCTTAAGAATTTCTTGTGTTTAAAACAATATGATTTTAAATTCTGAGATTTCTGCAGGTACAGTTGTTTCAGTAGTTGATCTGCCAGAGCAAGTCAGTTCAGAGACCTTAGTAGGTAAAGTTACACTTTTAAATATACAAAAATTAACCTTGTTTTAATATAAATACAATGCCCACTGACTTATTTTCATCATCTGACTACTTCAAGATGACATGACTGTCCAAGAGGGAGACATTTTGATGCCGGTGAGATGGATAACTTCTTCTTTAAATTATTTTCCAGGACCTTTCCAGGCATTTTTCTTGACAATACAGGAGAGCACTTGCTTACAAATGGTCATATAAGCTGCATTTCCAGGCAAATTGAACACTAATTTGGTGCAAATCCAGTAGAATTTATTTTATTTTATTTTACAGAAACGTGTTCATTGTTTTAATTATTAAATATTCATAATTAATTTTAAACTAATTAACATCACTGCATGTGTTTCAACCACAGCAACATAAATTTGATCATTAATAGGTTGTATTCATGTAGAATTTTGCTCACAGCTCTGGAAAAAATGGACACAATGCCAAAAAGATAATTGCAAGTCAGATCCAGTTTGCATCTGATGAACCCACTTTGAGGTTTTTATAACCTATTTTAGGAAACGTCACTTCACCAAAATTAAGATAAAACTTGCTTGATATAAAACATTTGGCTTTTTGAGTATATACTTGTACTTTATAATATATAATTGCAAAATTTATCATTTTCAGTTGCTGGTTTTGTAAGAAACTGATCAAATCGTGGTGATAATGCTTTAATGTTTTCTGCTGCCTGAACTCACAGGAGGACAGGAATGCTGTGCAGACCCTGTGGTCAGACGCTGTCGTACCTTTCGCCATCAGTGCTGAACTGGGTGGGTTGTTGTGGTTCTAACCGGTGAAGACTTTTGGCTGCTAGAGTGTAGATAATGACACCGTGTCTGTTTTCCTTCTAACAGCTTATCAAGAGTCAAACATCTTCGCTGCCTTCAAGATGATATCAGATTTCACGTGCATTCGCTTCCGAAGGCACACTACAGAGTTTAACTACCTGAAGTTAATAGATGGCAATGGGTGAGAAATGTTGTTTCTATCCATGCAAAGAGTTTTTATTTGCTTGGCTGCTACAAATGAGAATAAATCATCTTTTTATCATAAAGAGCACTTTTAGTGTTTTCAGTCACATGTTGCACATAATGTAAATTATCATTAACAATCTTTTTTAAAATGGTTATATTTTATAATAACAATCAACTCCAGTAATGTAAGAAAACAACCAAACAAATTCAAGTAAGATTATTTTACTCAAGACACTTAAGTCCAGACAATATCCAAGTACATAAGGCTTGTATGCCACAACACAGGCAAGGAGCAAGGCCACAAAGAGCCTTAAAAGTAATCAATAATCAAGGTAAAATCCATTCTTTCTAAGAAGTAAGGACAGTAAGAGGCTAAAACTATTTATTTTATAATTGTCTTCATCCAATTAAAAGCCACTTACTTTTTATTATTTGAATTGTTTTAAAAAAATCAACCTGGAACTCATATTCAGATATAGTTGGTTGACCACGGTTGATATCACTGCTGTTTAAATTTTTATAGGAATTATTTCTCCATGTCTCTCAACTGCTGATGGTATGAAAATCTGCTGTTTAATTATCTCCATGTTGGGGTGGAGGCAGAAATCTGTAAATAAACCAGGACTAACTGCACGGTTTAATAGACTTTTTCTTTCTCTCTCCAGCTGTGCGTCCTTCATTGGCTGTCAAGGAGGACCCCAGCCGTTGTATTACTCTCGGACCTGCAGTGTGGGGAACCTCTGCCATGAGCTCATTCACGCTCTGGGGCTGCATCATGAACACACCCGCCAGGACCGGAATCAATACGTCAATGTGCAGTGGCAGAACATCATACCAGGTAAACGCCTCAGCCAACGTTAGTTTTAACTGTGGTTCTCTGTATGAAAAACACGAGCTGGGACCAAATAGTTTGTACAATCTGCAATATTCAAAGCTGAATTTATCTTTTGTTGATCCACTGGGGAAGAAGACACAAAGTCCCAATCACTGTATTATCTTAATGTCTGCTACTGTGGAATTATTTAAATTCACCTCTTTTGAGTTACATCAAAAAATATTCAAAGAAACAGAATAATGTTGTTAACTGTGTTGGATCATAATCTCTGCCTTGCTTTGTCCCTTACTAATCTTTATACTGTCACAAATATCTTTATAAATGGGGCTCAGCAGGTGGTCTGCTAAGCTCCCCTGGCCCAAGGACACACAGTGGGTCACATGTTCATGATTAAGGGATGAAACGGTACAAAGAAACAAAGAATTAACTGTGTGAAGATAACAACAGATGAAGGAAAATAATTGTGAAAGGTAAAAGAAGCAAAGTGAAACAGAAACAAGTAAGGAACAAACATTCAAAATCCCATTTACATTTTAATAATGTCCGCTAATAAAAAATGGCTTATAACGGAGCATTTCTCAACAGTGAATAACGTTGCTCACTCCATGCGTTTAGATAAGACGGTAATTTGTGAAAACTTATTTTTTAACAAACACCATTTCCCATAAGCCCTTGATGTTTATGGGTTTAAGTCCATAAACAAGTCGAAGGGTTGTGGTTAGTTCAGGTAGTTAGACAGCAGAGATTCAACCATAACGTTCAGAAAAAGACTAAAAGAAGAGGTTCTTTTATGAATGTGAATGAAACCAAGTTACAATGCTTGGAAAGACTTCAACTTCTGTAGTGGATACAGATTTGTCTTTAGATTACAGAAAGTAAACCCTTTTTCAGTGACTGATTAAAGAAGTTACAGAAGCTAATGGAATAGAGGCTAGCCGGGGTGTGAAGTCTTGACTTTTCCTCCACAATGAAATAACAAATAACTTAACTTAGCCTTCACGTGACACTGTACACACTTAATTTTCCATGCTATTGGTATGTATGAAACATTTGGACACAGCTACTGTACTTTCAACTTGACTTGAAAAGAAAATCATTTGGAACACTTTGTGTTTTTTAAAGGGGCAAAAATAAACTTCGTGGTGAAATCAGGGAATACTCTGAACCTGCCGTACGACCTTAACTCCATAATGCACTACGGAAAGTAAGTCCTGACCCATCCTCATTTCTGTGGACGGTTTGAATGACGGCAGGTGGAGATGCTCCAGGAGACTAACGTAGCTCAGTCACCTGCATACAAATGTATCTTTTTATAAATCTTGGGATCTTTACATTGTAATAATACAAACAAAATATAAATAGTCTGCTTGGACCAATAATGTCTTTTAAATCCTTTTTAAAAAGTCATGTTCTGGTGTTGCAGGTTTTTTTTCAGTGTAAATGGAAATGCGACGATGTTGCCCAGGTACAGCACAGAGCAGATGGGTCAGCGAACACATCTCAGCCCTCTGGATATACAGAAACTGAACAAACTCTACCACTGTGGTAACAACCTCTACACTACCGTTTCACATAACTCTGTTCTAATGTATGACCAACAATCAAATACATATTTAACAAAGTGACTGACGCATTTCTTTTTTCAGATCAGCGTAGCACATGGCATTGAGCGGGCTCGCTGTTGGTTAATCTGTGTTTGCTGTGAGATTTAATAAAAATTTAAAAAATCCTATTCTGTGTTTTATTTTTTGAGCTATACCGTCCAACCAAATACATCAACTTAATCCCTGATAGCTGAAAGGTCTGTAACACCCAAAGGTAGAAACGTTCTACTCTGAGCAGAGGTTGAGCAAAAAAAAAAAAAACTGTAGCAGGTCTCGACCAATTTGTGAAGTTAATAATTTAGGCACTTGCCACAAATTTTTAACTATAGCCACTTTAAAGTGCCTAAATTACTTATTTTTTTATATTTTCATTGGTAGAGGTAAAACTTTAAAGTGGCTATAATTTAATAATAATTATATAAATAAATAATTAATATAACTCTATATACCTATAAAAAAAAAAGAGTTTGGAGGTTTATAATAAAAATTATTAAAATCAATTTTTTTTTAAAACCTCTACCAACTTTTTGGGTTAAAATACCAATTTCATTATGTTAACATATATGTTCCTTCAGTTTAGTTTACAATGTTGAGTGAGAGAGGCGTTGATTATTATTTAAGATATGATATAAGGGGCACAGTGAAGACCTGAACACAAGCCTTCATTAAAAACGCCTCATCCTGCATTAGAAAAGTACACTCTTAAAACAACCAAAGAGCTAATAGAACAAAGAAGAAAACCCTCAATGTATCTTAGTATTTATGATTGTTAGAAATACAGACAGAATTTTTGTTTTACACAAGCTTTCTGCAGTTGTTCCCTATCTGGGTTATTTTTGCAGTTTCAGTTATGTGCTGTTATTGTTATGCATTACATATACATAAAAATTAAATATCCATGAAATATGTCACTTAAATAAAAAAAGGGTTGGGAACCATTGTTGTGTACACTCAGTAGCCACTTTATGGAGCACCTGTGCAGTCTAATGCCATCCAATACAACTATTCTGCCATAAAGTGCACTTTTATGATACCTATGATGTTTTATCATTTACATCATAGTCAGTGATGTTGTACAGCACTGCATTATATTTAGAGGTGTTTCTAATATTCTGACCCCCCTCATGTAAACACCTCAATATAATGTACCTTTTACTACAGTATGTCAGTATTAAATATGATTGAATTTAGACATTTTTGACTGTCAACATCTGAACATTATAAACTGTGAATGTAGAATTTATGGCATCTTATCCTCTTTGCTATCACCACAATATCCTTACATACTTCTGCTGTGACGGCAGCGATTTAAAACATTCCTCAGTGTATTAACTGACTACAATAGTACAATAATGATCTCTATAACAGCAGGTATACTACAACAACAACACAGATCTAACAATAGACATTGGTTCTTCTAGCAACCATAGCTCTGTACAACAGACGCCTCCTGTACAGAAACCTGTCTGACAGACCACCTACAGTGTGAGCCTGTCTGTGTGAGACTGGTTTTGTCTGTAGGAGGAGCTAAAAGAACAGACCGTCTACTGTACACTATGTAAGAGGAATCACTCTTACATCTATCCTTCATTTACCTGAGAGCTATTGGTGGGAATTCAGCATTCAAAGGTAAGATAAATCACTTTTTTTTTCAGCATTTTAATATCCATTATTTCTGGCATTAGGACATTTTATTGAAAACTCCTTGAGATATGTCTCATTATTCAGTGTTTTTTGCCATGTTAAGAAGTGACCGTTGTTATGTATAAGTGCACAGATTAACCTTTATCAGTATGAAATGCAGATTTTCCTTGTAAAGTTTTTAGAGCCAGTGTCAAAGTTCTGTGTCTGTAAGTAAGCCGACACAGTGAGTCTGATCCCTCTGTCCATGCTGTAAAAGTCTCAGGTTTGTTTGGGCTTCTCAGATTTACCATGTAAATGCTTTAGCTCACACACAAACAAGCTGCTGTGAGACCAGCCAGGGGGATTAACTTTTAAACTGTATATTAGTAAAAGTGGAATCAACATTACCGCCTTTCGGACTAGATTTATGTCTCTGAGGAAGGTGGGGTGATTTTAACATGACCTTAGTTTAATAATCTTGTCCAGAGTGCTTTGATAGATGGAAACATGCCTAATAACATGACTAATAATTACTAAAAAATTAAAGCTATCAGGAGAGATCTACAGGTTACGATGCTGCATGGCTGCATCCCTGGTGTTCAGACTACATGACAGAGGCCCAGAGCTGGTGAGGGAGGTGCTTCTGGAGCGAGGATGGGAGGAATATGAAGAAGGAGAACGGGAGGAGGAGGACTGGAACCTCTACTGGAGGGGCTCGGCTTTTCGCAACTCCGAATATCACAACCTGTTGCCATGGCAGCGCCTCAACCACCATCCCAAGACTGCAGGCATCACACGCAAGGTGATGAGGAGAAAGTTTTACAAATAAACTGTGGCTATGATTTGTTTCACTAAATTGATTAACAATGCTGGTTTGGAAACTTAATAATGAAACTATGGATTTTCAACATCCTTCCTTTATCCTCAAGAGAATGTAAACACACCTGTTTTACAAGCAAAAGTGAGAAAAAGATGTGCAGAAAGCTCTAGATCTACTTAAAGCAGCTACAATGTATGAAATGGCAATGTGAATGTGAAAGGAGTCGCTCCTGGTGACAAGTTATCTCCTCAATCTGAGTTTTCATTTATTGTTTAGCTGTCCGTTCATAACTTTGCTGTTTTGGTTCACTCTCACCGTCATTTTCAGCAAACACCACTCCCTGCTCAGAACCAAACTGCAGACAGACACATAGTGGAGCATTTAGCAGCTAAAGAGCCAGATATTTTCCTTAAAAGACTAGAACTAAAGGACTAATGCTTGTGTCAGAAACACAACTCCGAATGAGTAACTTTGTCTCTTCCTGCTAGTACTGTATTGACCGTTAGTACAGTAGTAGCAGTAGCTTCCCTGACTAGAGCTTTGATTCTCTGCTCGAACCTGATTCAGACCCAAAACTGCTGCCATGGTGTTGCGCTCGGGTCGGACAGAATGAGATTTAAACAAAAAATCAAAGTAGAAATTCGAGTTCGGTCGGGCTCGTGTCCAAAACTTCATCTGCTGTTCGGGCTGGCACAGAATTTTTTCGGGTTTTCCTTTGGGATGTCATTATTCAGATAATGTATCCATATACAGATCACATGTGAATCCCAGGTGTAAATGGGGCCCTAAGCAAGAATAAGAGTTTGTTCTTTTCAGTTAAAATGATCTCACTAACAGAATGATTTTTACTTCTTTGGAAGGACTGTTTGGCTCGCAACCTGAGGAGAATGAGAGCCACATTCGGTTCAGCTCTCTACGATTTCAGTCCCACCGCCTTCATCCTCCCCAACGACTACACCCGCCTCCTGGCTGAATACAACAAACTGCGTCTGACCAGAGGACTGTCGGTCTACTGGATATGTAAACCAGTGGATCTCTCCAGAGGCAGAGGGATCTTCATCTTTGAGGATATCAAGGACTTGGTCTATGACTGCTCCGTAATCGTACAGAGGTACATCAGTAACCCTCTGCTGATCTCCAGCTACAAGTTTGACCTGAGGATCTATGTGTGTGTGAAGAGCTTTAATCCACTGACTGTTTACATTCATCAAGAAGGTCTGGTGCGTTTCGCCACAGAGAAGTACAACCTGTCCTCTCTTCACAACCTGTACGCTCATCTCACCAACACCAGCATCAATAAGTTCGGTCCCTTCTACAAAACCGAAAAAGAAAGAGTGGGCCAAGGATGCAAGTGGACCATGAGCAAGTTCAGGCATTTTCTCCACAGCCAAGACATCAACGAGCTTCTTTTGTGGCAGAGGATCAACAACATCGTCACTCTGACCCTCCTCACCATCGCTCCCTCTGTCCCCTCCTGTCCAAACTGCGTGGAGCTCTTTGGCTTTGATATCCTCATTGATAACAAGTTTAAACCTTGGCTGCTAGAGGTCAACTACAGCCCTGCGTTGACTCTGGACTGCCAAGCAGACATTACAGTGAAGAAAGGGCTAATCAGCGATCTGATTGATTTGATGAATTATACATTGACTGACAGCTTGAGAGAGAGGGCTTATCAGAGACAAGGGTACAGGCAGTCCTGTTTCCACACCAACCACCCCTCACATGTTTCAATACCTGTGCTCTCGAAGGTTAAAGAAACCAAAGTTCAGAAGCGAAGGAGTGGTAGCCAGTCACAAACTCAGACTCTCCCTCTGTTTAACCCTCGGAATAACCATGAAAAGATTAACCATGAAAAGATTAACCAAAGACAGTCCAGACAACACGCTTTTGTAGCTGACTACAGAGGACATCTTCCCCCTGTTGACTTAAACAAGCTATATGCAGCCAGGGGCAGAATAATTAACACCACAGCTACCAAAATCCACACAGACAAGACCCTAAACCTGATACTCGGCCCACATTCAAGGACAAACGAGTCGGTCGTAAACAGTCAGACGTGTCCAGCTCGTGCACCGTGGCTGATGGACAACAGGAGTCTTCGCATGTCTGAGGTTACAAACCATGACGACACTGAAACAGAAGCTGAGACGGAGCTCTCAGGAAAGACAGACATTTCCTCTTCGATACATGATCTCCCACAGAGGGGGCTGGGATTCAGACAGAAGCTCCCAAACATTTACAGGTACATACAGTACTGCTGCTTTTTCTGTAAGCTTGGCAACAAATTTTGTAGACAGTGTCTAATCTGGCTGAAACTGATCACATTTTTCATCTGCGGGGTGAAATATTAGGGAAATTAGAGCATCTTTAGCTTCAGTAATGTGGCGTATTTCAGACAGTGGTTGGGGTTTAGTTACAAGAAGCATTTAAATCAAATCTTTTCCATATGATTGGATCACCCAGGAGTAGGTGTGGCTTAGTGGTCAGGAGTCAGTTTCTGTTCCAAATGTAAGAAAACATTGTGTATTCAGTATTTAACAAACACTATTTCTCATAAATCCTAGACAGGCAAGTCCATTGCCGTGTTTCCATCCAAATGTATTGCACATTTTAACTGAATTTCAAGTAAATCTGCAAAATAAATACTTGCTTTGTGATTGTTTCACAGTGGGAGTCAAAGGCCGGTAAGGATTCCTTTGGAGGGAACCACAGCAATGAATGGACAACATATTCCTCCACTCAGAGTTGGAGACTTCATACGGACCTTCCCCTTTAATTCAGCCACTCTGAGAGCCTCGCAGCACAAACTGGATGTTAAGATAGTCATACAGGAGCTCCACAAGCTGACTGGTCAGTTGGCTACATCGATGGACAAGTTGAGGAGAAAAGAAGAGGAGGAGGTGAGGAAGAACATAGATGGTGAGGAAGAATTTGATTCACTGTTGTGGGGGCCAAAGGATCCTCCATTGCTCAGTCAATACTTCAAACCCACTTAGTTTTTTTTTCCTTCTGGATTTCTTGCTAAACCCTGACTTGTTTTTACTTAGATAAAAAAAAGTGGTAATGTGAAACACATCACTTCCGTACGCCAAACGCCAGACGCACAGTGTTTACAACAGCAACAAGAGAAAAGTGGTCATAATTATTCTGAATTGTTGTGTGTTAGCCTTTCTCAATTGTTTTTATTAATGTGAATAAAGTATTTGAACAAACCATTTAGATTCCTTTAATTTAAGACAGACATTTAATCTGCGCTATGGGACAAAGAGCCATATTCCAGCCTTAAAGATCACCTGAGCTCTCTACTCTAAATAAATAGTCAATAAATAGTATCATTAACATCTCTATTCTACTATCACTGATCCCTGGACTACTGATCCCTATTTGAAACATGATAAAAAGGTTTTTCCTCGCGACACTACACCCCCCAAACACACACACTACATCTCACACACGAACAAACATTGATTTAAGAGGTCAGATGGTAACTTTGTTCTTTTCCTTGATGCGTACTCTGCCGGATGCGTACTTGGTTTCCTGTCGTCCGTTGGAGTAGATGGTCTTCACTGTCCCATCAGGATCCTCTCTCCTCTTGTACTGGGAAGTGTGGATCTCCCTCTGACCATTGGGGAAATCGACCATCTTCTCACCTGATCTGGAAGAGAAGATGATCCAGAGAGCACGATAAACAAATAACTTCTTTAAGGCTGTGATTACTTTCAGTACAGTGTGTCTGTAGGTTGGAGACAATCACATCTTAAGGCTTTGTAAGGTTTATTCATGCACCATTGAACACAGATGTTCATGTTTTTACCATGTCCTTTTTAATAATTGTATACATAACTTTGATATTGATTGATCATAATGTTCATTTGTGAGACAAACTACTGCAGAGATACTGCGAGAGGTGAAAAGAAAAAGGTTCATATGAGGTTTGCTGTTCTAAAAACAAGAGGAAGTAAGTTATTGTAGTTTGGCCCATTGATTTGCCTGCATACCAACACAATCAGCAGTTGGAGCTGCAAAATTCAAACTCATACTCACATTATACACATACTTTTATATATTTAATTCAATGGAACTTTTCTTTCTAAAGACATGTTATCTGATTAAATTAACGTCCATAAATTTACTAAGAAATCTTTAAAAGAATAAGAAAATATGAATAATATACGCTCCTTCATGAGCATGTTTCTAATTTTTCTCTACTGGTAGTTGTCTGTATATCCACGGTTACTTGGGTGCATGACCTGATAACTGATATGTAAACCAATATAAGCTAGAAAACCAAGGCTCAAGTGGTAGCACACAGCTAACTACCTGACTTGCTTCAGTAGACGCCCACCATGTTAGACTTTCTTTACTATCTGAAGTTTTCCGTCTGTAGTTAACTATAAATTCATAGCATGTGAGACACATATTATATATTTCCTTATGTATTAAACATTCTGCTGTTGTACATATCCCACGTTCATTACCATAAATCGTAACATTACAAATATATACTATTTAAAGTTAGTTTCAGAACTTCTAAAAAAGACCATTGTGTAGGATTTAGTGGCATCTAGTGGTAAACACCCTGAAGGCCATGAAATACGTGAAATGCCGTTTTGAGGGGCAGGGTTTGGTCCTTCTGAGCTACTGTAGAAACATAGCGGTCTGACTTTCAGGGTGTTTATACACTAATTAAAACATATCTATGAATATTATATATTCCATTTCTGTCAATAGATCCTCCTAAATGTTTGTTCCAACCCACATACTTTTACTTTACATTCTACTGGAAAGCCCAAAGTTTCCAAACATACCAAATATGGGAGGAGGAATATGGGTTTAATGTGCATAAAATGATGTATAAGACATTGCAAATATGTGGGTGCAGCCAAAACAAAAACACAGAGACTTTGGTTGATATGATACTGTCAAAGAAAGTGGAATAAGATTATTTTGTTAAGGATGTCAGCGTCTGTCCTCCTGGTTACCTCATGGTGTACTAATATTGTTTATTTATTTACGAGGCTATCTGTTAGCTGCCACCCTAATGACAGCTACTCTTCCTCGGTTCCACCGGCTTCCTGACCCTGCAGACACCCTGAAGCTGATCCTGAAATATGGTAGTGATTCCAGTCTTACGGTGAGAGGTGAACGGTGGTGCCATCAGTGAAGATTGTCCTCTCGCTGCCGTCAGGCTCCAGATATTTGATGGTCTGGTCTGGAAATAAGATCTCTCTCTTGCCCCCAGGGTATCGCTTCTCTGTTACAGAAGAAGAGATATTTTGGAAGGAGGACTATAGTATGAGCTGTAGACATACACTGGAGGGACTGTAAACTTTTTCTATTATCTGTTAGAGATAATTAAATTATTCCATTGTCAGTATGTCAGTTCTATGACAGATTTTAGGTACATTTCTTTTTGATAATATTTGTATTAATTACTCTGGTCGCCTGTGGTAAACACCTCACCTGAAATGAATAAAATAAGGTTTATAAAGAGAATTTTTGCATTCATCTGGTTGTGTGAATGTTTGTATCCACCTGATGAATGTATGTCCAATATTCACGCTCTTTTAGCTGTTTTTGGTCTCTACCATCTTCTGAGGGAAATATCTGGTTCTTCGGCTGCTAAATGCTCCTCTACTGTACGTTCACCAGCTAGTCTCTCTTATTAGAGCTTTTACGCAGCTTTTAACAGCTGCCTGCTATGACTGCAGTTACAGCTAAACAATGAGCTTAAAGATAATTATCTGTAGGTTTATCACTACAAGCGAAAACCTTATCATTTAATACACTGTTATAAAAAGCTTATCTTTAAAGATGAGGAATATATAATGTTAAATATATAAATAATATAAAACTCAAACCAGAACAGTCCCTCGACAGCATGTCTTACCAATCTGCTTGTTGGGGAAGTGAAGGACCTCCAGACCACTCGGGTAGGTGGTGTGTGTTATCTGTGAACCAGCATAGTAATACACCTGTAACACACATGCACACAATCTTAGTGATGCTAATCAACATTAACATTATTATTTCACAAGTGTGATCAGGTCAGCACATGGCACAAAATACAACCGGCTCTTGCAGATTATTTACTGCCTCTGAAGCCTGAATACTCAGTTATTAGTCGTACGTAAAGGAATCAAAGGTAGCCACAGAGCTCACCACTTTCCCGTCTTCCAAAATGTGTTTGATGTCTCCATTTAGGAATGTTTTTGTCTTCTGATCTGCAGAGATTAGTTTCCTTGTCCCGTTAGAGAGAAGCTGCTCTATCTGGGGAAATAAAGAAATCTTCATTAGTACAGAGTTGTGAAAAGTGGTGATTTAGTTTAATTTCTTCAAGCCAATTTAGAAAGTCACATGTTTGATGGCCGTTTCTGAATTATTTCGAGGAAAACGTTTACTTTAAATAGTGAAATTACTATCAGTATTTTGTGTGTATTTGTGTAGTATTCTTAGTATGAAACACATCCGCTTGAATTCTGTTCAGTGCTCCACAACAATACACCCTGCTATTAAATATTATCCTTAATAAAAGCTTCAATCCTTGATTTCTTTTTCTTTTTACCTATTGTATTAAGACATGGGAGAAACCCTTTGAGCTGGGAAGGTAAAATCAAGTTATTGCAGTGACAGAAGTGGCACAGGGCAGAATATCAACTTGCACTATATAAACATGTAATGAGGTCAGTCAGTGCTTTGACACCATCTTTTGTCCGTCTTCATAAATTATTGCCAGGGTGCTTAAAGACCACTTAACAGTGTATTGTGTACTTGAATAATTTGATACTAACAAGATTTACACAGCAGACAGCGAGGTGAACTCTGGAATTTCTGCATAATAGAAACAAGAATTACACGTTGTGAAGTGGAAAAATAGGCTAATAACAGTGTACAAGATAATACAGACTTAGAATTTAAGTTCAGCTTATGTTCGCGTATCTTCTGTTTTCTGGAATTTCAGGGTTAGCTCTTGTTTAGAGGATGTCTAACAACAAAATAATGAATGCTTACTGGTGCTCAAACCAAATATATTTCTGAGATAAGTCAGTCTAAACAGGCTGTGTTACTGGCTGCTCTCTCCAGTAATTCTCCCTTATTATAAAATAAAACTGATGGCCAGTGGAGGGCAGCAAAGTTTCGGTTATTTCTACCAGCTGATGAAACTACAGCAGCAGATTTCTGCCTCTGTGTTGTACCAACAGATTTGTTCTCATGTGGCACGTATGAGCCGTTTTTAGAGAATTTGTAGCATTCCCCTATTTCTTGCGATAGCCCTAACCTTAATTAAAGTATATAACAAAAAGGACCAGTGTGTAGGATTTAGTGGTACTAGGGGCAAAGTTGCCGATTGCAACTCCCTCCTTTCACGCTACCATTGTAGGAGAAACTAAGTCTACGTTCACACTGCAGGTCTTAATGCTCAATTCCGATTTTTTGCTGAGATCCAATTTTATTGCGTTTTTGCATTATAAGTTAAATGCGACCACCATCAGACTCCAGGGTGAACAGTCTATGGCCCCAAAGTGGAGCCGACAAAATTATGATGATGATTTTGATCCCGTCCCGCCTCCTCCGCCGCAGAATTGTGACGTCTGTCACACTTCAATGACATAAAAGTCAGATGAAATGCGACATGACCATTCAGACTGAGGTCGCTTTGAAAAACATCACATATGTATCTGATTTAGGACCACATATGAAAGTGGCCTGGATCAGATTTGTGCTGTTCAGACTGTTTGGGACACTTTTGTCTGCAGTCTGAATGTAGCCTAAGGTGGCCACGAAATGCGTGGCAGTTCAACATGGCGGACTCTATGGAAGTAGATTCATTGTAAGGTAACAGAAACACAACTATTCTAATATTCAGGTGATTATACATTAATATGAACATAATTATGACTATTCTATTCCATTTCTGCCAATAGATCCTCCTCAATCTAACACACTGCTCCTTTAAAGCAACTTTAAGCATTAATATTCTGTTTACCAGATCATCACCTTCAAGGACAATTTACTGGCAGGTTTTTTAGATCGTATGAATCTGCACAGAAACTTCCACATTTCAAATTCAATTAAAAAATTCTCTCATTCCGCCAGCTGCCTCAGGCTTTTTTTGTACGTCTCTATTTGGTGTCACATCACCCACTGTAACTACCACGTCCACCACCGATCACAGACCACTTTGCCTTTAAAGACATTTTTTGAAGTCTACCTTTATGTGGGTCACAGTGCAGCGCTGTTCTGGTGGCAGCTGCAAAATCACAATTTTCACAGGAATTTCAACAGGACTTGAAGCTCTGCCCTGTGAAAATCTCCTTCTCACTTTTTATGCATGACTGAAACTGACTCATAAATGGAACAGAACAGGCAGCCTTATATGGTAATTTCAAGGGAGTAAATTGCTAATGATCAACTCTCACTCATGAACAGGCGTCATTCCTCACGGCAGAATCAAGCGATTACAAGTTATAGTTTAGTTTAAATTCACAGGAATGTGACGAATACGACTCCTCCATGCAATACCTCACAGAAAAAGTAAAAAATGAAGAATATGAAAATGTGAGGTTCAATATATGAGTGTTTTAACTCTGCAACCTGTCCGGGGAATTTTTCTACTCACTCTAAAATCAGTTGTCAATAAAGCCAATCTGTCAAATAGCTCCTCCATCCTCTATGTGTAACTAAAGAGAGTGAGACACAGACACAGCAAACTACCGTACATTCAGGAATCATTGTAGTTTTCTGCTCCTACAAGCTTATAGAGAGGTAGAAAGTAAAACAGGTGGAAGAGATTAATCACATGACTGATCTACTAATCACTTATCCAAAATACCAAACCTGCACAGCTTCCTCTGTAGATCATTAATGGTGCAGCACGAAAGCTCACACTGAGGGCGATTACATGGACTAATGGGCCAGTAGCTTCAGTGTTTGGGCCACTATTTATCTCAATGTCAACACTTTTCTCTGAGCTCATGTCTTGTTAAAAGGAACCAAGATGGCCTCCTGGCTCCCCTGTAGTTCACACCCTGCAACTTCCTGATCACCCAAATCAGACACATTCAATTTTAAAATAATTTCCTATTTTTGAGCATAAAATCAAAATTATGAAAAATAAGCTGTATCTATATATTAAGCTCTATCTACACTGAATATGAAAAACTAATGATTCACAGCAGGTGAGACTCCACATAGACAGGATTCATATGATTTCTGACTTGAACAGAAGACCATACAGTGTGTTTTACCTGTGTCTGTCCCTGGTGTTCAGTGTGTGTTTGTGCAGTACGCCAGTCGGCCACTGGACAGCACTGTGGCGTAACTGTGAGTCTCTTCCTCAGCTCGGAGTTTTCTCTGATCACCTCGTCCAGCTGGCATCGAACTACAGACCAATCACTCTCTCTCTGCTTAAACTGCTGCTGAAGGGCCTCCATCTGCTGCCTGAGGGCCTGCACACACACACACACACAGTCAGAACAGTTAAAAAGCACGTAGCTCTGTATATGAATCATGTGTTGACTTTAATAAGTGGGAGTATGTTTGTAAATGTTTGCACAGATTTATGACATGATGTGTTTAACCGCTCTTCATCACACGTGCTGATTAGAGTCATCAGATAACAGGAAACTAATTTCAGTAGAAACAAGACAGTGGTGTGTTATTCTGAAACCGTCCACGCACAGATAAACAGAAGTTTAATTTTTAGTTATTAGATATAACGC